AAGGGCTCTCAGCACACCTCCCATCTCTCTGGTCTGATCTCATAGTCTGCCTTTCTCAGGGCAATCTCATCTGTCTCCTTCTGAACACAAGGTGGGGGATCGTTAGCAGAGCCCCCCCACCCCATTCCAGTTTTGTTGAAGACAATGTTTAGGACATCAGTGCAAGGACAGCGGGAGTTCAGGCGTTCAAGCATGCTTAGGGCGAGGCTAATTAGCTTGGGGTGAGTTTCATCATGTGGGTGTGTCTTAGTCAGTTCTGGGCTGCTGCAACAAAATCCCTTAGACGGAGTGATTAATAAACAACAGAAACTGATTGCTTGTAGCTCTGGAGGCTGGGAAGTCCAAGATCAAGGCGCCAGCAGATTCAGAGCCTAGTGAGGGCTTGCTCTCTGCTTCTGAAATGCTGCCTTCTTGCTGTGTTCCCACCATGGAAAGGGCGAGGGAACTAGCTGCAGCCTCTTCCTATATGGGCTCTGATCCCATCCACAAGGTGAAATCCTCATGATTTAGTCATGTCCCAAAGATCCTGCTTCTTGATAGTCTCACACTGGATGTCAAGTTCCAACATATGAATTTGTGGGGGGACACTAACATTAAAAGCATAGGAGCCCGTCCTCAAGGCCATGGTCCTAGGATGGGCAGAGCTGCCCACAGCCTATTGTGCCAAGCCCCCTAGTTGGGTGACATCTCAGGTACATCTGGGTTGGAAGGGGCCCCAGGCTCTGTGTAGCTCAGAGATCCCCATCATTCTTTGCTTCAAACCGGAGGTTGGTCAGAGGTGACAGCAGCCCCAGCCAAGTGACGTGTGGCTGCTGATGCTCGTGCTTCCAGAGGGTGCAGGGCAGGTCTGTTTGAGGTCACTGCTGCAAGGCGCAGTTTGAATATTTTCAGCTATATGTGAATGGCAGGGGCTTGGCCCGTGCACTGCATGTGTAGCTCATACTTGGTGGGCTGTGTAATGTGTAGAGGTGTTGCCAAGGGTAGTGGAAATGTGGCCTTTTTCCAGCATAATCATGAGTCCTACCATTCCCCGCTCCTGCCCCTGCCCCTGCCCCTGCCCCCTGCGGCCAGGACCGCTCCCACTTGTGGAGTTGCTGGGATCCGCTGGAGGTGGAAGGACAAGGGCCAGTTGCTTTGTCCTGACTGACCAGTGTCCATTGCTCTGTCCCTCTGGACTCCTGACAGCAAGGTGTCCAGGGGAGGGTACCCTTCAGGGCTTTGCCCTTGGTGTTAGGCAGTTAAGCAGGTCCCCTTCACGACTCTGTGGCTGTGTCTGGAGAAGCGCAGGGGCTGCTTTGGATGCCAGGCCTGGTTTCCATAACATTCACTGAGAGGGGGAAGCTCAGAGACCAGAGAGGGTTGGGCAGGGCTCATCAGCCCTTCTCCTATGCAGGGCCACGTTCTTGCAGGACTCCAGGGAATGAGAAGATCCCCTGGGAGGCCTCTGGAGAAATCTAAGGCTAGACCTTCTCCAGCCAGCTCTTTGTCTAGCCTCTTCTCAGCAAACTTGAGACTCTGCCAGATCTGCCCTTCTGCCTGGCCCTGAGCCGAAGCCCAAGATCCCCAGGATCTTCAAGATTAATTGTATTAGCTTCTAGGGCTGCCAGAACAAAGTACCACAGACTGAGTGGCTTAAACAACAGAAATTTATTTATAGCTCTGGAGGCTGGAAGTCCAAGACCAAGGTGTCAGCAGGGTTGCTTTCTTCAGAGTCCTCTCCCGACTTGTAGATGGCCACCTTCTGGTGTTCTTACAGGGTCTTCCCTCTGCGTGTCTGTGTCCTCATCTCCTCTTATAAGGACCACGGGTCAGAGGGCCCACCCTAATGACCTCATCTTAATTATACTTACATTTTGTTAACTTTTTTTTTTTTGAGACAGAGTCTCGCTCTGTCGCCAGGCTGGAGCGCAGTGGAGTGATCTCGGCTTACTGCAACCTCTGCCTCCAGAGTTCAAGTGATTCTCCTGCCTCAGCCTCCCGAGTAGTGGGGACTGCAGGCGCCCGCCACCACACACAGCTAATTTTTGTATTTTTAGTAGAGACGGGTTTTCACCATGTTGGCCAGGATAGTCTTGATCTCCTGACCTCGTGACTGGCCCACCTCAGCCTCCCGAAGTACTAGGATTATAGGCATGAGCCACCGCGCCCGGTCGGCACATTTAGTTAAATTTTAATGGGTACTTAATTATACTTTAAAGACTCTATGTCCAAGTAAAGGCACTCTGTGAAGTACAGGGGTATAGGGTTTCAACAGAGGAATTTGTTGGGGCACAATTCAGCACACAGCACCAACAGATGCCCTGAGCCTGCGATCAAAGCTGTGCTCTCCCTGAGCCCCAGCCCAGGGTGCCTTCTGCAGCATCCTTGTTGGGCCGCTGCAGCCCATGCTGGCTGGGGACACAGCAGCTGTGCAAGGGGTCCGAGGTGTTGAGCACAACAGAGTCAGCTGTATCCCAGCTCATTTGTATTCAGCTCAGTCCTGGGGAGAGGAAAGCGGGGCTCTCAGGGATGCCGGGGGTGGCTCCCCCATCGCTTAGCTAAGGGGCACTCAGTTGCCACGGTGACCTCTGTCTGCACAGCCAAATACACTCGGCCCAGCCACTTCTCTGGGCTGGAGGGCTCCCCCCACCCAGAGTTCACACTGAGTGTTGAGTCCCTTGGTGACAAAAACATGGAAACGGTTGCCATGACAGCCATTCTTTGGAGCCCTCAGACTGGAGTGCAAAGTTCAGGATGCCCAGGAACAGCTGAAATGAAAATATGGGAAAGTCCGCTTCCCTCACCCTGTAAGGATGAGTCTGTAGGCATTCAATGCTCCCCTGGGCCTGGCTGTACCTGTCCCTCCCCATCCTCTGGGCCATGTGTGGGTTCAGGAAGGGGACAGGGAGGTGCGCTGGGAGTGAAGGATCAGAGTGGCCCCCAGAGACATTGACAGAAGCTGGCCAATGGGGAGGGCAGGCTGAGCTGGGGGTGGGTCCATTGTCTGGCGTGGTAAGTGGGGAGGCGATGACCGCTGGGCATTCCCTGGGGCTTTCCTGTGTCTTGGTTTCTTCAAGCTGCTGCTCCTTTCTCAGGAAGGCTCAAGTCTCTCCATGGCCTAGCCTGGGGAATAAAGGTGCTCTTCCCAGTGAAGGATACAGGGTGTGAGGTTGGGCTCAGTGAGGGGAAAGGATCCTGCTCTGACAGTGCAGGATTGGGGGAGGGGAGTGAGAGGATAGCTGTTTCTCTTTAACAGAGATGAGTACAGCAGAGGCCTCTCCAGGTATCCCCTGGCCTGGGGGCAATGATCGTGTGTCCACCCCCCCCAGGAGGTCCCCAAGAAGGTCCCATAAGGCTCTGGTGACCTGAGATACACCAACCAAAGGGTTCTGCAGTTAGGGTTTGAGAAACCAACACACATGTACAGGATTCTTAGGTTAAAGGCTCTGAAAAGTCCTGCAGTAAGGAACCTCTTGACTTTGTTTAACCTAGTATTTCACAAACTTACTAGAGCAAAGTTTCTCCTTTATTTTTTAAGCATCTCTTATTTTAGAAATCTCCTTTACTATCTTGCAGAAATAACATCTAGTAACATTTGTCCCCAAGTCAATGGCATCAACACCACCTGGGAACTTGTGAGAAAGGCATATTCTGGGGCCTCACCCAGATCTGTTGAATCTGAAGCTCTGGGGCAGGCCCCAGCAGTTTGTATTTTCACAAGCCCACCAGGGGATTCTGATGCATGTTCCAGCTTCGGAAGCCATGTACTAGGGAAAATACTGGTAGAGAATTGGGAGGAAGAGGAATGGTCTGGGGACCTTGGGTGGCACAGAGGAAGGGAGGCCACCTGGCAGGGATGGCTTAGGCATGGGAAGCGGGCAGTCCAAAGACCCCGGGCTCTGGAAAAGGCACTATGGCCACCCCAAAGGGTGGGTTCTCATCTTCTGCCCCTGAGCATGGAGGACCCATTATGGTTTTCTGAGACTGGTTGGAGGGCCAGGCTGTGTGTGTGGAGTGTCATGAGGCCTGGTGTCAAGTAACTCGGGCCTTTGGAGAAGTGAACTCCTGAGGAGCCTCCCACTCCTCCCCAGCACTGCTCCTGGGCAGACAGAGCTTGCCCAGAGTGCTGGGAGCATGGGCAGCACCTGTAGGCTTCTGGGACAAAGTGGGCCTTGACAAGGCCAGGAGATGGCTTGTCCCCATGGCAGTGCTGGGTGGCACGCTCAAAGCATAGGAAGTAAGGCTTCTTGGAGCAGCGGCCTTGGCCCTGGTGTTAGCAGGTGGGGGTTTAGGATCAGCTTGCCACCGCCCACTCGCTCCCCCGTGGGACATCCTCTGCAGTCACGTCCTGGTGCCGGGTCTTCTTTCCCTTCTCCCCAGGCTCAGGCAGGGTGGACCTAGCCCCAGCAGCTGTGGGCCCACCCGCCTGCCTGTGCTTCCTTGCAGCCGTCCAGATCCACATCCTGAAGGCGGACAAGGCGGGGGACTGGTGGAAGTTCACGGTGAACATCATCTCTGTGTACAAGCAGGGCACGAGCCGCATCCGCCGTGGCGACCAGAGCCTGTGGATCCGCTCGCGGGACATCGCCTGCAAGTGTCCCAAAATCAAGCCCCTCAAGAAGTACCTGCTGCTGGGCAACGCCGAGGACTCTCCGGACCAGAGCGGCATCGTGGCGGACAAGAGCAGCCTAGTGATCCAGTGGCGGGACACGTGGGCGCGGCGGCTGCGCAAGTTCCAGCAGCGCGAGAAGAAGGGCAAGTGCAAGAAGGCCTAGCGCGGAGGCAGCAGGCAGGCAGGCGGGCGAGCGCCAGGGCCGGGCCGAGCTAGAGCGGGCGCCTCGGCCGGGCCGCTGCGGACTTGGCCCGCGAGGGCTTTCCCAGGTGGGGGGAGGGAGGGGGCGGGGCCGCACGGCGCGGGGGGGGCGGGGCCCTCGGAGGCCCCACCCCCTGCCCCACCCTGCGCGCCCCAGGCGGGAGCCGCGTGCGCGCGGGGCGGGGTGCGCGGCCGGCCGGGCCCTGGAGAAATGAGGACGAGACATAGCTACCTCACGGGGCTCCTTCCAGAGCAGAGACGCGCTTCCCTGGGGCTGGGCGAGGCCGCCGTGGAGGGGCTGGGGGCAGCCTGTCCTGGGGCCCCGGGGGCGGGCGCAGAACCGCACAGCTGGGACCCCAGGCGTGGGACGTGGATGGCGCGGAGAGAAGGATGGGAGGAGAACTGTGAATTCTCAGGCCCGCGTCCTGGGCGGGGCGCCGAGCACCGACCAAACCGACACCCCACATACAGCAGACGAAATCCTCCCTTTCTCCCCGGCCCCATCCGTCTAGCATTCCCACCGACCGCCGGGCTCTCACAGCCTGGGCTACATCTGAAGGGGCCTGGCAGCATTTGGGGAGCGGACAGCCGCCTGTCTAGCCAGTCTCTGTCTCCACTGCCACCTGCTGAGTGGGTCCTCCTGGGTGGAGTCTTGGGGTGGGGTGGAGGGATTCACCTGTGGAGAGGGGAGAGGAGGCCCCTGCTGCTGCCTGCCTCTGCCCCTGCCCAGTGTGGGGCTGGTCCAGGATTCTCGCCCATCCGGAGAGCAGTGGGCTCAGGGACACCCCTGAGAAGCCCAAACCGGGTGGTCACCGCCTCATGCTGGAGCTGCCTGTTGGAGGAGGCATCGCAAAGGCAAAACCTCCCAGAGAGTTTCCTTTTGGAAACTTGGAAACAGCCCCTTTTATGACATTTTCCAGGGTAGGGGGAAGGGGCACCGGCTGGGTTTACCGCAGTGACACTATTTATGTAATGACATCAGCTCCCGCAAGGCCCCTCAGCAATGTCAACAGCTGGAAAGGGCCTGAACCAGCATGGAGTCTGCAGGTTTCGAAGGCACTTGGGCCTGGCTTGGGGCAGGGGGCTTGCTTGAGCTGGGACGGGGTTTGCTGGTTCAGCAAAGTACCAGAGTGCCTGAGCCATGGGTGGGCAGGGGTGCAGAAATGACCAGGCCATGCTGGCTTCCCCAAGAAAAGGCACAGAGGCTGCTGGGCCTCCCCCCTGCAGCTGTCTTGGTCTGGCCTGGGCCACACCTTGCCTGTGCCTTTCCAGACAGTCTCTGTGGCATCTGCCCGTGCCCTCCACTGTGCCCCAGCCCTCCTTCGAAGATCTCCTAGAGACGCTGTCCTCAAGCAGGCAGCCCCTTTTGTTCTGACTGCCTCACACAGGGTCCATTCCTGCGCCCAGGGGCCTTCTGGCTCCCCGCCTTCCTGGGCTCTCTGCACGGCCTGGGCCTCTGGCCCATGTCCTCACACCTGGCGCACTGAATTAGAGACCTGGCGTCCCTCACAGTCAGGAAATTAGTTTCACTTTCCTGGCCAGAGTTTGGCTGCTCAGAAGGGTCATACCAAGTATGACGCTTGGCCCGGAGGTAGTCTGGCTTCCCTCTGCCTTCCCCACTGCTGCCTGCATCATGGCTGCCATTTATTGAGCACCTGCTGTGTGCCAGGCACTTTACCCACATGCTCCCAGCTTGTGCTCATGACAACCCTGTGGGACAGGGACCCGCTATCACCAGCAAGGAAACTGGAGTACGCGTGCCCAAGGTCATGCCTCAAATTGGTGGCAGGACTGGGGCCCAGACTCCAGAGCCCGACTTTATGATCACAGGCCATGCTGGCCCTCCCTGCAGTCCTGCTCTGCAGCCCGCCCACTCAATCCCTGTGCAGGCTGTGAGGGTGCTCTTGGGGGAGTGGCCACTGAGCCGCTGGCCCTGGTTATTGCCTCTTGAGGACACTGGCATTTGGCCTGGAGAACAGGAGCCCGGCGGGGGGCAGGACATGGGCACAAACAATCACATCTTCAGAAGAGGCAGCAAAGTGGTGGGGACACAGGGACGGACTCGCCAGACAGCAGCTCCGGGTTCCAGGAAGGCAGGCCTTGGCTTCTCCGAAGAGGTGGTAGAGGGTGGTTCGGCTGCCTGGGGGTGGTTGGAGAGACTCCAGGAGAGACTGGCAGAGGTGCCTCATGGGCAGGGGGCAGACAGACCTGCCCTGAGAAGGGGATTTGGCTTCCCTGAATCCAGCCCAAGGCTAGAAGACAGGGCCCTTCTCCAAGCTGTCAGCGCCCCTCGGATGCCCAGTGTGGCCCGCTGGGTGCCATCAGCATCACAAGGCACTATGCCGCTGGGGCAGTTGCCCTGTTTCTGTCTATGCCAGTGTGGTTTCTTCACCCTGCCCAGAAGGGCTGTGGCAGCTCCACGACATCCCACCCTGGGTCTGGGTGTCACTGGTGTCCTGTGAGGGGCTTGCACTTGTGGTCTCTGAGGTCCCCTTAACAACAGAGCCAGCGTCACACCAAGCAACAAGGCATCTTGCAGAAAATTCAGCCACTCTCCTGCCCCTCCCTCTGGTTCAGCACCCCAAGGGCACAGGCTGCCCACCCAGTGGCCTGGCCCTTGGGGAATTCATCAGGGTGACCAGATCCGCCAGGTCACTGTTGAGATTGCATGGTCATCACGGGCTGCCTTCCCTACCCACACACCCAGCCAGAACGCAGCCCATCACTCCCGACTGCAGCCCCACCTCCACCCGGCCTCTGCAGTGAGCACCATACTTGGGAAAGCACCCCTCCTGCACTCCTGTGCCCCACTCCAGGGAGCAGAGGGAAATGGGAATTGAGGTGTTCCGGTTTGTACAGTTAGGAAGGGATGTAAAACGGAACTAGATTTTGATTTTGAAGAGTGTATTAACCAGAATCGTGCTATGTAGGTGTTTGAAGAAAAACATACCAGATTAGTCTTTGTTTTTGCAACAGATTCCCCAGTTGTCCTCTTTCTTGCCAGCTGGGTGGTTCGGTGCCCCGGATAGCTGGGTGCCTGCTTTATGGACGCGCAGTAATGCCCAAGATTTGCGGGGTGTGGGGGAGGACATAGGGCTACCCCCGGGACTCACTGCAGGCTGTGGTCTGCCCACTGCTTCCATCCATGGAAAGCAGGGCAGGAGGCAGCATCCCCAGAGGCATCTATGTGGGAGGGAGGGAGGGACACCTGGGTCACAGCCCAGGGAGGCTGGGAGCTGCTCCAAGGCCCTTAGTGACTTCCTGGAACTCTGCCTCAGTGGCGGCACACTGGAGAGGGTGCACCCCAGGTTGGAATGAGACTGAACTCAAGAAGAGACCCTAAGGGACTGGTGAATGGTTCCTGCCCCCAGGAAAGCGAAAGACGCTTACGCTGTCAACACTTAAAGGAAGCCCCCTTGAAGCCCAGAGAGCGGCCAGACTAGACTCATTGATGGGCCATTGGGCCACGCTCCATGGACAAGACATCCCTGTGGGCCACAGCCACGGCACACTGGGGGGATCAAAATGTGTACTTGTGGGGCCTCACCCCTGCCAAAAGCCAAGTCAGTCCCACTCCTGCCATTGGACGTTTCTTCCCCTTCCCTGCTCCCAAATGCACTCCCCTCCTCCCTCGGCCCCCTCCTGTGTTTTGGATTTCTGTTCACTCAGACTTGTAAATGTTTAGTTGTGACCATGACGTATTGTTTGGGTCAATGTCCCTTTCCAATGCATACTAATATATTATGGTTATTATATATGAATATATTTAATGACATGGAAAAAGTTGTGGATTTTCTTTAAGTTTCTTTCCTTTTTTGGGGGGGTGGTTAGAGTTGTAATGGACCCAGATGGAACTTGTAACGTGGGCCCCACATGATAGAACTAAATTCAGATATCATTAAATAAACTCTTGTACACTGTGCTGTCTCCCAGTGTTGATTGGTGGCCTGGGCTGCGGGTGGCGGGCGTGTCGGGAGGCAGGAGGAGGATGGAGTTTTTGGGCAATTTGAGGAATATGGTTTCAGGCTGAAGAACTCCCCGCAAGACAGAGCCCAGGTTTTTCGCAAAGCCTCAGAGACAGAGCCCTGACTCCCCCAGAAAGGCAGGAAAAGAGCAGTTTTGCTTGGAATGTCTTAGGGGCTTGCTGGCTGTGAATGCTGTTTGGAGCTAAAAGGCTATCGAATGGACGGCCTGTCTGTATTGCAGTCTGCAGGAAACCACTCAGGGGACCCATCCTTGCCATTCCCTGGAGTTCCAGTACAGAGGGGGACCCCAAGGGTCACCGGAAAGGGGGTCCCCTCCCACTTGTCCTGCCTACAGCCCCTGGGCAGAGAGCCACCTTTGACCTTCGCCATTTGATTCAGAAGCTGCAGGTAGTTTCTGCCTTTTAAGCCAAGTAGAGACTCAAGAAACTACAGCAGGGTTAGTGAAACTCTAGAGAGCTTGCAAAATATTTTTTTTTCAAGTGATTGCTAAATGCTTTGTGCGGTGCAGAGACTGGGCCAGTGCCAGCACCACGCAGCCACCAAGAGCTGAGCTCACTTGGTTTCTGAGAGGCTATATTTAAACCTCCAAATGGTTGTGATTTCTTTATTAAATAAACAATTCAGTCATTAGGAACATGTTGTGTTGCCATGCAGAGTGGGACTGATCGTCACCAGGAAGCTATAATTTCTGCACCCAGCCATTTTGAAGGCAAGCCTCAGCAACGGGCCTGGTCTAGCCCCTCAGCAACGCAGGCTCCACAGGCCCTTCCTTTGAAGGCATAGGAAGCCCCTTCCCTGCCGTGTGTAGAGCTGACTGGAGATGCCATTAGCTTCTGCTCAGGAAGAAATAGGGCCAGCTCTGCCGCCTCGGGGGGTTCTGGCTCTGGGGACAGGAGCTAGGCTCTCCAGAGCCTGGGGTCAAAGCCAGGGCAAGTGGATATGTGAGTGGTCTCTGGGTGTCCCAATCAGTCTCAGGTTTAAGTCCCTGCTGGAATGACAATGTCTGGGGGTGGTGAGTGGGCAGTGATGAGATCCAGGTCTCAGTTGGCCAGACAGGCTAAGGAGTGAGCAAGCCTTTTCTGGGGGTCTCAGGTGCTCCCCAGGGCCAGTGGGGCCTTTGGTAGGATTTAAGACCCACTGAGACACTGGGCTAAGAAGTCTGTGATGCACTTGTGGCAATTTCATTCTCTGCTTTGGTCATTTTAGGTCAAGGGTCCAGTTCTCAAGGACTTTCATGATGTGGCTTTTTTCTGTCCATTAAAAAAAAAGTCTGGCCAGGTGCAGTGGCTCAGGGAGGCCGAGGTGGGTTGATCACTAGGTCAGGAGTTCAAGACCAGCCTGGCCAAGATGGTGAAACCCCATCTCCACTAAAAATACAAAAATCAGCCAGGCATGATGGTGGGCGCTGCAGTCCCAGGTATTTGGGAGGCTGAGGCAGACAGCTGCTTGGACCCAGGAGGCGGAGGTTACAGTGAGCTGAGATCACCCCACTGCACTCCGGCCTGGACTACAGACTCCGTCCACCACAGTCAGGCCCTGTGAGGGTGGCTGCAGCCCCAGGCCTGAAGGAAACCCACCGTTGCTCAGTGACACATCGGGATGTGTACTGTCAGTAGCCCCTCTGCCTCCCAGGGCCCTGTGCTCAAGTTGGGGGGAGAGGGCATCTGCCAAACTCAATGCAGGGAATAAGCTGGGTTGCTACTAAGACTGGTCCAAGTAGTGGGAAAAGCCCATTTTAGAGACTGGAATACTGAGTCACAAGGAAGCTGGGTGATCACCACCAGGGACCCAGAAGCCAGTGCCATCCTGTCAGAAATGCCTGATGGTGGGAGGGCAGGGACCCTGCAGGTGTCAGAGCTTCACGGGGCCTCCCGGCAGTCCAAGCTGCCATTGGGGAGCTCACTCATTCATAAGGCTCTCCCCTGCGTGTTCCCCTCCACCTCCCAGAGACAGCGCCCTGGCATGGGATGCCTGCTTGTGGCACACACACCTGTAGATTTCAGATGTTGTTGAACAGACATCTCTTTCTCTGCTCTTCTTAAAACCAAATAAAGACATATAAGAAATAGGCCAAGAAAAATGGGGAATGAAAAGAATAACGGAGCCAGTAAGAAACAGAGGCTATGGACAGATTACACTGCTGCTTTATCAGACTGGAGCCTCAGCGGGGCGACGACTCATTTCTGGAAAGAGGTCAATGTCTTTTGTCATTGGCATGTAGGTGGGAAGAAGTCTGTGAAAATTGTAGGAAGCAATCAGAGGAAAGATGGGTCTGGGTAAAATAAGGGGCAAAAACCCACTTAACTTCATCAGGGCTGGGTTAGAAAATCCAACTAGCTAAGAGATGATCCTTAACTAGTCCCTGTTTAAGATGTCGGTGTCACTGTGAACCTCAAGAAGCAGGGGATAGGATTCTAAGAGGCTAAGGTGCTCTTTCCCGACTAGGAGGAAAAATGTGGCTGTTTGGCCAGCCAGCAGTTCTCTCTGACTAGGCAGGAGAGAGCCTGGCAGATTTGAAGAGGGGCTATCGGGAACCTCCATCGGCCTTGAAGAAGGGGAGTTTCAGGGATCTAGCTCACGGAGAAAGCCCAGTCCCAGCCAGGCGGAAGGCTGCAGGCAGCAGAGAAAGGATTTTCTCTATCAAAGCCACAAATGACTGGTGGAGGCCGTGTCCAGGCGGGGGCCCTGTGGGTTTTGAAAGGAGCTGATCATCTTGGGGCTCATGACAGCTAAGGTTTAGTTATAGTTACTAATAAAAATGAAGTTTAAATGGAACAAAAATACCCGCTGTACCCAGGTATCTGGATTTCTTTATATGGTATCTAGAGTTAAAAAGCTTATAATTAATAATCGCTTAAGTTAAACAGTACTTATACTGTTATTTTAATCACATTTATTTTCATTGAAAAGGCACCGGAGGTGGTGACTGTTAAGGCCCTGCCTTGCCTCTCTTCTTTTTTTTTTTTTTTTTGAGACGGAGGAGTCTTG